TATTGACCCAATTACTAATAAAAGTCTTAGTGCTGCAAATGTACACGGTACTTCATAAACAACATAAGATTAGTTCCAATCTAATGATACCAAAAGAGATAAATACATTTAAAAGACTTTGTTAAAGTTGAATTATTTGTTAGATATGTAGCAGTGTCTGCACAGAAAATTCAGTCAATCTTTCCTAGTTATTAGATCACTGCTTCAGCACAAAGAGACAACTGCAAAGCCTCTAGCAGCCATTTTCTGTTGCATACATGCAGTCTATTTTCTTAACATCTTTATAATCTTAAAAACAATTTAAAAATTATTTGAACTGATCTGTGAGCAGAATAATCTAATTGCTTCCATAGCATAAATTCCATTCTTATTTCATGTATTGTTTGCATTTCTCTTTTCCAGGTCTTTAAGTATTGTGAACAAGTTTGTTATTCCTAAAGGACTGGAGTAAATTCAGCTTGACATATTCCACAGGAGCCTTCTATACACCCTTAAAGTTTTATTTGCTGTAATGTTATAAGCACTACACAATAGTGTTGTTTGTCATCTGGCAGAACTTAAAACAGAGTAAGATGATGTTATATTGCTGCTCAGGAACACCATTATTTAGCTTTGTGTAATTACAATAATATATGATACACCTATTCAGTAAATACCAAAAAAAAAAGCAAAACCAACCAACAAGATGAATTACACTGAGATAAAAGAAAATTAATAAAAATTATAACCCAGCATGTTCTATATGGAAGTAAAAATAACCCAAATATAGACAGTTTAACCTGGTTACCAAAGTTCTCAGATTCCCAGGAAAATTCTGCAGTCATCCCTAAAACACACAATGAAATGCTCATTGTATTATTCCAGTTCATAGAATGAACATTACTTGTGTCTCTGGGGGAAATATGTTTCTAGAATAGAATAGTTTCATTTAAAATACAGTATTTCAGAGTCAACAACTACACTACATTACGCACTCATACATAAACACCAAGACATAAAGCAGCTTTGCACTTCCTTGAAAATTTTAAATTGGTACTTTCTGGCTTATAAACTATCCACAATAGAAATACCCCACTTCAGTGATCAGACATTCAATTTCTGTATGTCAGCTGTATATGCTATTTCATACTATATACAGTAGTAATTCCTGGAAGTGATTTAATTCCTGGGAGTGGATAGTTTCGGATTTGGAAGAGGACTTGCAAGTTTATTTGATTCAAGGCCTGCAGAGACAGCACAGGAAACAGATGGAGTCAGGAAGAAGACTGGGAATTGGTTAATCTTTGCCTCCTGCATAGCAGCTTCCGAAGGAAGTCTCCTCAGATCCTATGTTATGGGACGCACAGTATGCAACAGCTTGATCACAGAACATTCCTGCCACCTACTGAAAATATAACTTCCTGGAAGTGCTTTGTGTAAAATAAATATGTGCTACATATCAAAAGGTGATCTAATAACTAATCAGTAATTGCCTTTCTGGCAATGAGGACACTGATTTCAGGATACTGGTAGCAGAACCAGGACACATATGCAGAAACCTGACTGCTGATTCTTTGTCTAATTCTAGTGGATAAATACTGAGTAAGTAGAACACATAAATTTTCATTATTGCAATCAGAAGGTAAAATAATTATTTGCAGACAACTGCATAAATAAGTGCTTTATATAGATGTAACCCTTAACTTAAAAGTCTCAAAGCAGACGTGCCATACTGCCTCCACAGCAGCAGCCTGGTGTTGGTGAGAAAACAGCATTAAGGAAACCTGCCATTCAGTATAATTTCAGGCCCTAACCACATTCTTCACTTTGACTAGTACTGGAAAACATAGAATTTCAAGATTATTCTCCTTAGGTATGATGAGACAGTTAGAAATACTATTGCTTTATTAATATTTAACAAGTTATATCTTTTCATATGCACACTTACTCAACAACTTAATGAAACTTAATTTCAATCTTTGTATAAGCTTCTCCAAATGCAGTTGAATTTTATCTTTATATTCTCAAGTTACTGAATGAATGTATTAATTCATATAGAAAGGCAGAATTCAACATTTTACAATATCTGTTTAAGTAGTTTGTATCACTGACTTTTAACTCTAGTTGCAATTTAATGACCTTATCAAACACTGCTTATCAAATGATGGGGAGCATAGAAGCAGCAGAGATGCAACTGTGGCTTGAGAAACACCAAACTCTCCAACTGTAGCAAAACAAAGTTTCAAACATTTATTTATTTATCTATAATTATGCTGTGTTCTATGTAAACTGTTCTGAAGTAAGCAAATGCAGTGGATTAAACTGCCATATGATATTTAGGGATGCTGAAGTTTATAATGCTCTTCAAGTGCTGATGTACTGTGGGAAGAGAAGAAACAGTAATTCATACTGTACATTTCTCAACCAAGAAGTATTATACATTCAACAAGGACAGCAATAATTCATAAGATGTACCCAAGAACACACTCAGTCCATACTCCATTCTTTATGAGATGTCACACAACAACAGATTTAAGAGTGAACAAGTACTTCACTGAACAGATTTTTATTATTTGTTGCACAATAGTGTTCTTAGGCCTCAGGAAGATCAGGAAACTTTCAGTCTGAGACTTTCTTACAAGGCAAGAACATTTTCCTGCCCTGAAAAAATTTTTAGTCCAATTGAGCAAAACCAGATAAGAACATTTAAGGACAGTGAATAAAGGAAAAATTTCTACATCCCTTAAGCACAAGTTTGTTAGCACACATTACACACAACAACCATGAAAAGGAGACTGATTTCTCAGAGTCTGTTACATACCACAATATCAGAAACGGTTTTGACATCTGTAAGCTAAAATTGCACAGTTAAAAATACAATGCCTTGAAGAAACAAAAAGGGGGAATAAAAACCAGAGGCACTAGGTCCAACAAAAATGGAATTACTACAACCTAGACTTACTCCAAGAGCCCAACTTCCCCATCATTGACTTCAAGTCAGACAAATCCTTTTCCATTCAGAGCTCTAGGATGGAGAGATGGGTGTGCACATGAGAGGGAGTCTGTGGAGAGTAATCAATCTGTCAGGCAGTATCAAAGTACTTACTTAAGAATTCATGGGCTTCTGTTATATAACACAGACTACATTTCAATTCCTCAAGTGACTCAAATGTGACTTGAGTTGTAACGAGATGTAGTTTTCTAGCCCATCCTTTAACACAAGAAAGCCTTCATCAGATCTTGACAACACATTAAAAAGTCTGTTGTTAAGAAGTGAGAAATCGCGAACTAAAAAAAGTAAAAATACAAATACAAAGTCTAAGATTATAGCACGCTTACTTCTGAAGTGCTCTTAATTACATCCCAGTTCTTGAAGTGCAGGCTGAACACAGAGAAACCTATCTTAAATTAATGACATATCTTTTCCTTGGAAACCAAGTTTTGCACAGGGAATGTTATTCCAATATACTGGAATATTATAGATTCGTAATTACATTTATCTCCAAGTTGATGGCAGCATTTACAAGTGCAGTACCAAAAGGTACTCATGCCTTCTGCTGCCTCTGCACCACAGACCAGATGAGACACCAAAGTCCCTGTGAATGTTCTTCTGACACCAAAAGCACCTCTGAGACATGCAGACTCTACATGACTAATAACTTAATTTAGTTACTGGAAGAGTGGCAGAGACCTCTCTGCTTCTTCTTCATGTCTTATGTCACCCACAGCAACTCAACAGGGAGAGGGGCATTGCCCTAGCTGTGACACATCAAGGGAACCACAGTGAGGATCAGGACCCGCAGGACAGCTTCCTGCTGAATTATCCAGTAAAGAAGAGTCCAACAGTTATATGCCAATAGAATATGCATTATGATCTCATATAAATAATTAAAAAGCAGCTTGTAGCAGGTCTGGATAAAAGAAACAGAGGTAGAAACCCTTCAAACCATAATTTTTCTTAAGTACAGCATACCTGAATGAAAGCTAATTAAAATCCATTTAGCCTATAAATCAAAGCTATGACCCTTCAACTACAATCAGACCTTTACTTAATTTCATGACTAGTCTCTACAAACAGAGTTTCCAGAATGAGATAAAGTGAAGAACTCAATGCACTGCCTCTCTACACAGTGCTCAGCTTCAGCCGAGCCTGTAACATTAATACGCACAACTGCAGATCAAAACTTCCCATTACTTTTACTATTAGGGGAGAATTTTTCTGCCCCTTTTTTAAAAAAAAAAGGGAACAATTACAGCACATATGCCTCAATATTGATTTTGTACACGTTAAAACCAGAAGTTGAATTTACTTGCAAGTATGCCTTAAAATAATTAAACTTAGATGTACTCATAATCCAACTAGGAACAACTGATTTATGAACTATTCAAGACTTAATTTCCTCTTGATGTAGATTGCATACGCCTCCAAAACAAGTCTCTTGACAACCATATAAAAAGAACAAAACTTTCTCCTCATAAAGAACAGTAACACAGAAGAGGATATTACATTTTTGGCTAGACTTCAAGATGATTCCGAGGTTCTTTTGTTTCAATATTTATATTATTTTTAACTCAACAGCAAAGACAGTTTTTATTACCTTACCCATTCCAATTAATACTTCCCTAAACAGAGCACTGCTCAGACACTCTTGGCAAACTTTTATATGCATTTCATCAAATATACATGGGTAAGTACTTGGGCATTGGATTCTACCTGGGGAGCAACATGAACAAAATCACACTGTACTAAGTGCCAGCAATCTCATCTAGCAATAGACTACAACAAAAAATAAGATTTTTCAGTTTGAATGAAATTACATACTCTCCCCAAACATTGTGCCTCCTGACATCAACTATACACCAACTCTCTCTCTCACTCACTCAAAAACACAAGTTGATCAATTCCACACCCTCCAGCCCTACATTCTTCCAAGAGCCCTGCTACTCACAAATGATCTCCACCACTACTAACCCCACAAGAATTCACTTTGCAGCCTTTGCTCTTTCAGACACCCACACACATCTCTTTCCCCATCTAAGCCAGGACATTCCCCCTCTACCTGGCAAGTTTCAAGAAGGCTTTATCTCCCCCAGCTTCAACACAAGGCAAGAGAGATGGAAGGTCAGAAGGATTAGACCGTGATGAAGCTGACAGGAATTAGCTGTTTAGGCAACTCCACTAACACAGGGTTGAGTAATTAATCAAGTACCTACACCTTTGTGTATACTGACTGAGAGAGGAAGCCAGCAGCTGGCATCCTGATGAGCCTCCCGCCCAGGAAGTATGATAGTAGAAAGGCCAACCATGAGCCAGGGTGTTTGCTTTACACCCCAATTAAGGTGCTAATGAAGGCAGGCAAGCTGCAAGCTCTATCAATCTATTACCCCAAGTTTGTTTTCAATTATCTTCTGACCTTCCTATATACCAAGTTCAGAAGGCCAGCTTATAAATCACACTGCCATTTGCAAAAATCTTTCTCTATTAAAGGGAAAACCAAGGGGAGATTTCTATACAGGCAGGGATGTGAGCCCATGACCTGAATTTGTAGATAGTGATCCACTCACTGCCTGCTCTCCAGAAAAATCTGAATACATTTGGTACTTCCCCAGTTAGTCTGAAAATTCCTTGCATGCTTAAGCACCCAAGTATGTGATGATGATACTGGCACTCCTATAGCTGCAAATTGTTACAGCATTTTATGCTTCCAGATATTCCCTGAATGGCCACTCCTGGACTATCCTGAGCACTCTGTGAGCAGCAGCTACCCCAAGCAGGTGGAGGTGACTAATGCAGCCCTAAGGGAAAGCACACAGGAGGAAGTCTGGCTTTAGCCTATTTGGGCATGTAGCATCAGTGAAAAGGGGGAGATCCAGGCTTTGCTTCTTGTTTCTTCTACACCACCAATATAATGTAAACCACACAAAAGCTCCAGGGAGCAGTGACTGCAACTTTAATTCATAGAGAAGCGCAGGGCTCTGCATAGTGAATTTTAGATTACTGATAATTAGCTGCCTTTTCCTTGTACCTTTTCACAGGTTCCTTAAAAGTCCATAGGTCCCCACAGTTTGAAAAGCATCCTTATTAAAATGCATAAGGTGGTTGCTGAGACACTACTCTCCACTGCTGAAAAGGTTTTGGGCAGACTGGATGCCATGTGAATTTCTCTAACATTTGCTATTGTTTCCTCCTATTTTCAGCGAAGGTGGCTGGCACTTAATCTGATTGAGTAAGTCTCTCAAGGTGCTGAAAAACCCCATGCAGTCAAAGGAGAGTAATGAGTATTTAAATGAGGCAGGCTGAATTCTGTAGATCTTCAGAAGTGCCTCTTTTGAATACGAAGGGGGAAAACCAGAAGTATGGTAGGCAGACAGAAGTGCTCACTGTGGGACTGGGCATTTACACTCTTTGTGAAGGAGCTGGTTATCTAAAACAGCAGACTAGATTCTGAATTGCATTAGGGAACTCACAGGTTCATCAATGACTCATTTAAATAAATGAAACTTCGAAATGAAAATAAAGTGCAATTACTTTGAATTATTTCTTAAGCAAGAATCAAAATGTAAAAAATCTGACTTACAAAGTGATTTACTGTAATAAAAAAAACAGTATTCACATCAGATCTGTCAGGCTCTTTTGGCAAGCGAGGTATCTTCAGATGAAATCATTATACAGGAAAATCAAATCGTTGTATCTGCTAACTGATGAAAACCATTCAAACATTGCATAAATTAATCATTACTTTAGTGCTGAAAGTGGCTTTTTTTTATGCATCACAGGAACAGAGTTTTTCTGATTAATTGTCAGAGGAGACAGAAAACATTTCCTCCCTGAGATGATCTGGGAAAAACTGAAAGTCACTTTATCAAGACCTTTATATTAATGAAACAGGAAAAGATATGCATGTGACAAACAGAAATATCCTCCTGGCCTAGAGAAAAACAATGTCCAAAGGACAAGTTAGATGCTGTGATGCCTGGGGTTAAAAAGGACTTTCTCCTCTAAGGCCTCCAGTTGTGTAACCTGCATACAGAGTGACAGTAACACATTTTTGTGAACCGTCTGGAAGTGGTTGTTACAAGATGTTAAACGAGATGAATGGCTGAGATGATGCACTGTGGCACCGGCTGGCGATCCTGGAGGGTGAGCGTCAGGCAGCTTCAGCCGCTGTCCTGCCCCCAAAATGCTAAACAGGAGGGAGTTCTCGCTACTGAAAGGTTACATGTACACGTGTGTGAATAGAGAGAGGAGCATGAAGAGGAGGTATGTGGTAGGTTATCAGTGGAAAACTATTATGTTAATGATAAAGAAATCAGCTGCTTTTATCAGCTACCCAGATTCTGACCAGCTGCCTGGATAGTTTGCCATTACTGATGGCCTCATTTACTTCAGGCCTTCTAGGTCAGACCCATCTGAGAAAGGAGCAGAAGAGGGAAAGATGGTCCAGTGGCCCTGCAGCGGACAGCATGAAGTGTACTGGTATGAGAATGGGAATGAGTATAAGAGAAAGCAAAGCTCCCCTTAAGCCTGACCTTGTTGGCAGCATGGACCAGGTGGGTGGATGAGTCAGACTGACAGGGAGCTTTGTATAAGCTGAACATAGCAGCTTTTCATCTGCCAGTAGTGCTTTCACATTCACAAGTTCTCTAGGTACCTCACAGAAGATAATGCACTCAGGAGTCTGTGTGCTACAAAATCAGTTTTACAAGCACACACACAAAAAAGCAATCACTTTATTCTTGAGTATTCCTGTTCCTCCACTCCCCTTAATTTAAGGCTTTGTGCATATTTTGGTCCTCCGGGCAGAGTTGTTTGGTTTCCCTCTTCAGTCAGCTCCTTCAGTTGCTCACCGGGCTTCCTGAAGTCACATCCAACCAGCCTGTCCCAAGTTCTGTTCTACCACAGAGACTGAGCTGGTTAAATACAGTGACAAAACCTCAACAGAGAGCAGCCTCTACAGTGCTGATACGTGGATGCAGATGTATGGGGGTGGCCCCACAGCAGGTCCAGGCAGTCCATCACACAACATGGTTACACCTCTGCAGCTCCCCATAGCATGCTACACCAAGCCTGGCAGCCATCTTTAGAGCCCACACCTAGTAAATTCTGTGGCAATGGTACCTTTCACAGCAATGAGTGAATGATCAAACCATGCACAGCCAGAAAGAAGAGGAAGGAAAACCTTGAAAAGAAACAGGAAAATTGCGCGGTGGGTATTATCTGGTGCTGTAATTTATTCTCCTAATTCTTGCTTTTAAAAGCGGTTAGATTTACAACTGACGGCATTCCTTTAATCCAAATTGGCCAAATAGACCACCAGCTGTGGGAAGCGAACTTAAAACTAGAAAACATCTAAAATATTTATAATGCTATTTTTATATTTAAGGACAAACAACATAATACAAATAAAACGGTACGTGAAACCATTAACATAAATATCCAGCTTTTGCCATATGCTGCATTAAAATAAGGGTAGTGTGTGGTTTTGTGTCTAAAATTTATAAAACACCATTTCCCTATCATTTAATAGTATGAATTTACTGACAGAACCTACTAAATAACAACAGCATTTTATTCAAGTAGGAGTCAGATCAGAAAGTGCTAAAGAAGAAAAAAGCTGTTATCCAGGCTGGTCTTTTCAGTTCCTAGCAGCTGCCTTTCTGCAAGTCCCTGCTGAGCTGCACCCTGCCTGTGCTGAGAGCTGCCCAGCTCACCAGGGGATGCTCTTCCTCCTGCACCACACTGGGCATGCTGATGTTCTCTGTGAGACCTCTGCAAGGATGCTCTTCAGCGCTTGGATTCAGGCAGTATGAGAGATTTCCCAAACCATAGTTTCTGCTAGGGGTCACAAGTCTGGAAATGGGCATGGAAATGATTTCACCAGCTGAGATAAAAACCTGTTACCCTCTGATCTATGCAAGAGAACCCTCTCCTGGGATAAAGATGACTTTGGACTGAACTCCTTCCTTTGCCTGAGGTGAATAAAAGCCACAACTGCCAAGACAGTGTGCAAACTGGCAGGCTGCAGGCAAGCCTAGGTGCAGAAATATCCCTGTAATGCTAAAACAGAGGCAGGAAACCAAGCATTATGGAGACACACGAAGTTACTTGAGTAACTGAAGAAATCACCCAGAAGGGGTAGACGGGGTAGACTTGTTCTATGGCGCCTGGTCAGGGTTGTTTCTGTATTTTAACTATTTAATGAAAAATGCCTGTGTGTGCACAGCTCACCAATGGATGCTGGGGAACCAGGCTGAAGGGTCAGGCTCTGTTTTGCCCCTTCAGTTTGGTCCTGTTCCTGCAGTAATGTTTGCTGGGCTGAGCAGAGCGAGGACTGTAGTGGGCACCCACCTGCACCAACCTACATGTGGTGGTGGTTCAGCTTCTCACTTTAGAGACGTATGTAAGTGAAGGCTGCAAAAGGCAGCTCTCATGTCCTGGGGGTGTTCAACCGTTTATGGTAGCTTATAAAACAGGTACTACCATGCTACTCCTATTCCCTTACAATGACAGCGATAGGTTCTGATCAATTGTGCCACAAAGGAATCTGTAAGTGGTGAGACTCCAAAATCTGCCTTCTCCATGGATGGAGGCATCTCACTGCTGGATCGAATGACAGATTAGCTCTTGCCATGGGGTAAGAGTTCAGCTAGCAGCTGATTTGGGATGACATCTCACTCAGCCTCAGGATTTTAAGCTGCCTCTTTGAGCTTCCAGTTTTTCACAATGAGTTTCCTAGAGCTTAGGCACCAGGTTCTCATTGCAGCATTTTCAGTGGGTTATTACATCTATAGCAACCAGCGACAAACCAGCTTATAGATGTGTCTTTTTTATTAGCCCTAACTCTAGTAACAACTTTCTGAACTATACAATGTTTCCATCGAGCTGTTTTAATGTGGTTATGCCCTTCATGTAAATAAAATACTTTCCTGTTCCTTTCCTCCATGGAGCAAATTAGATTTTTTGTCATCTCATTACAACATCTGTTCAACAGAGTCAATTCCAATACAGTTCTGAGGTCATTTCCCGCAGCCTGAGAAAACAGAAAATGTTATTATCCTAATTTAGCAGTGATAAAGCACTGAGGCCAGCAGCTCATGTTCAGAATTCCCTGACGTGCTCAAATTTCTTTGATT